AAAAGGCCTGAACAGGGATTGTGGAGCAGGACAAGCAGACAAAAACTTAAACATACAACTTCCATATGGCCCGCGATCCTTATCCTTGATTCTACTCATGTACATACCCACATCCCTGGATGCACTATTCACAATACCCAAAGGGTGGAAACCACCTAACTGTCCAACAACAGAACACATACATATAATGTATATACAGTTGACCCTTTGAACATTAAGGCCTACTTATATGTATATTTTTTTTGCTCCTGGGGTCTTCTGCTTGTAAAGTTCTTCCCCTAGATATTATCATGGCTCCACTCTGATTGTTCACATTTCACTTAGTATCACCTTCTCAGAAAAAGTACCCCCAGATCACCCTATCCATAACCAATCACTACCTCCTGGTACTTCTTATTCGTTTACCCTACTTCTGTCTTTGTCACAGCAGCTGACATCACATATTTATTTCCTCCCCTTCCACCCTGCCAAAACTGAAATTCTGTGAGAGGAGGAATTATTTTGCTCACTCTTGTTTTCCCAGTGTATGACCCATATAAGCATTGCTCAGTAAATTTACTTAAACAAAACACTATTTTGACTGGAATATCATCATAAAATAGACATTTGAGGGTGTGAGAAAGGAAGAGCCAGAAATATCACCATAGAAAGCTTATAAGTCCGTCTTCTACCTATAACTGATTGGAATACCTAAAATGGGGCTATAACTTGCCCAGTGAAGGAGGCTTCCTGCGGAGCAACTGCATTACATAAGACCATAGGTGGAATCCTGAACCCCATCCAGAATCTTCTGAGGTGGAAAATTTCCACTTGAAAGAACAAGTCGACCAGCCTGGAAGAGGCTACAAGAACAGAAGATACTTCTTGAAAGAAAGACCGACAGAAAAAAATACAAAACAATATAGGCAGACCAACTGATTACTACAAAAACAAGCAAGTTGCTCGCCCAGAGATATCAAGGCAAGTGATTGGGTCCCCTGCAGGCAAACCCCCTTCCAAGACTAAGACTCAATGGGAATACACGAGCAGACATGTGCTCTGACTAGTGACCATGTTGGTCAACAATAAGAGGAAGTTAGAGGAAAACAGCAATGAAGCTGCGAACTAAGCCCTACAACATTCAATAGACTCCTGTGAACCCGGGTGGAGACCTGGTTGGCCAGCAGTGTGGCAAGACCTGGGGACTCTTGGGCCCAGAGTCAGTGACA